CAAGCCTGGCCCCAAGCCGAAAAAACGAAAGAAGTCGCGAGGAATGCGTAGTTAGACCAAGTTTAATATTAATGTTGCATAGTAGTGTCACTTACCATGTTGATTGGAGGGTTGGAAATATAGCTTTGGATTGAAGGGTCACTTGACCTGCAAAGAAAAGGATGACAAGCAAGCTGTGATTTGACCTGTCAAATGTAGGGTAGTCATGAGAGTGTGAAGTAAATAAAATATGCAGGCATTTGACCGGAAAATTGGCGGGTAGAAAAGAAGCAGTTAAACGACCTGACATATCGCGGGTGGGTACAACACTGACCAATGAAAAGGGATCGTCAAAGAATAACCTACTTTGTGACCAATCAGACGACTGAACTGAGTTAATGGTTACAGCTCTTCTGATTGTAAACCGATGTACACATATTCTAGATGCTATTCAAAACAAGCGTTTTACTGGTCATTTTGCTGTTCAACATGGTGGAGGAAGCAGCGGGCATGGAGAAGGAAGCGCATGGCATGGAGGAAGACGTGAAGGAGAACAAGAGTGATCTTGTGATGTGCCTCAAGGATGATTGTATGTCCATCCACACACGCAAACAGCACACAGAGCACTATAACAAGTTTCACCGAGGGGTGGAAGAACTTACACGTCGCGATCTGACAGGTTCATTTAGCACAATTCATATGCAACTGGTACCTGTAGCACAAAAACTTATCTTTGTTGTTGTCATAGACGAGGAAGCAACATTTTGGAACCAAAAGACCTTGGCTGAGCAGCGAAGTTACCGCAAAAGAGTTTCTAGCCAGCTACAGAGTCGTCAAATGAGCACTCGAATGTCGATGGCCGCCAACCACCAGTCACGAATGCGACCGGTCAAACGCCAGGTAATTTTCTATATGATTTGTTTTCAAGTAGCGCACTTTATTATTTGTAGTTGACGTTCCTGCGACCACGACATCGATCGGTCACATATCAGGTACGTTCGCACTTGAAGGATTAATCATTTTTAAATGCTTCACTGATTTTATGAATTTTGGTACTGATCCTTTATTGATTCTGAACAACTAGTAGGAAAACGAAACAGCGTGCAAGATCCAACAAGCTTATTAATCAAGCTAGCACAATAAGAATGGGCTGCAGAGGATCGACGCAAGAACCTTCGTCAACGGAAGTAGCTGCTACTAGTAGTTAGATAGCTATATTATTCGAAGTAACATGTTTTGACCTGTGAATGGCGCAATGCATTGACAATGGAGCCGTAATCCGGAAAATTATCCGGATTATCGGCCACACTGCTTCATCATTGCGCAATGCATGGATAACCGGATAGTTATCCGGACTGTTGATTTAAGGAAATTGCGCAACCATACTTTCCACAATGATTACGCAACAACACCGTCGGTGTTGTTTTGTTTTTTGTCTCCTGAATTGAGCGCATACACATTGAAATATAACGAACATCGCTTGAAATAGACTGCAACCTTCTTGGTTGCAGGCGAAATATAACGAATATACAACGAAAGAAGTGGAACCGCCGCGAATTGCTTGTTCATTTCGCGAAAAAGTATGGTGAGGTCCTCAAATTAACCGAAAAAAGGTGTAGTTGCAGCAGAGGTACCACTCTTTTAGCCACGTAAAGCCGACGCCAAAACAAGTGCAAAGCACAATAATAATACTTCGAAGTATTACCAGCTCGACATGCACAAGCATCCAGTACTCCTGACGTTGTCAATTAGCTCCATCTAGAGATTTAGCCACGGTGAAGTTGGATCGTCATGACGACTCCTCATGCTGGTCAGGCCATATATGCCTAGTCATCAAGGACGGGTGGCGTGATGTCACCACGAATACCATCATTTCAACTTGAACCAATTTCGGCCCTGGCCCACAAGAGGGTACTGTGACGGCGCAGTCGGCGCGGGCAGTTCCTTGGTTGTCTGGTAGAACAACATGGCCTCCTGGAACTGCGCCAGTCGTTCGTACTTGTCGCCGCGCTTCCATCGTTCCGCAGCTTCCATGAACACGTCGAACATGGCGGTCTCGGGCTCTTCGTGCGTTGCGGGCATCTTGACAAAACCGTCCAGATTTCGCTTCCTTGAGAAACTTCGCTTGGCCGACGCAGCGACCTCAACGTCGTGCTGGACGCGCACGCGGTCGACTTCCTCAGACACGTCCAAATGTTGGTCGGGCTTGATGAGAGGGTTATGTCGTTGCTGAAACATGTACACGGTGGGAGGCGGGCGGGGCGCAGAATACTCCATGTGGTTCTGCATTGTCAAACGTTGCTTGGGGCAGATGGGGTACACGCCTTCATGCACGTCAAGCTGATGCACCACGAGCAACTCGTTGCTGGGAAACTGAAGGCGACAGCGCTTGGAACCATTCAGCATGGGACATTCAAATGTATCAGGAAGTTCAGTCATGCGAGGCCGGGCGTAGATGCACCGAGGACACTTGCACCTCCACTCCGTGACGCGTTGTTCCAGCCATGTGACGGTTGCCGACTCCTCCTCCTGCTGGTCAGCTGTCTGCGATTCCACTCCTGTGATTGATAGCTCTGTCTCGTCCTCAACCGACGCCTGTGCGGCAGCCACGTCCGCGTCGCTGTTGTTGTCGTTGTCGAATTCCATTTTGTGCTCGAATTATTTTTTGAAGTTGTGAGTGATTTCATTGGTCAATAGCGCGCCATTCCCACAATCAGCATGCCCAAGAAGGAGGCTACCGCGGCGGCGGCACCCACAGCCGATCCAGCCTCGAATGAACATGGGCTTCAGTTCACAGCTACATCCTCCAGCTTCTCGTCGGAGCATCTCCCTGGCGCGCCTATCCTGCCAGGTTGCGTGCACTGGTCGGCGGACTGCAAGCTAGCGTGCGTCACGGACGAGAACATCATGATATCAACGTACTTGAACAAGGACCTCAGTCGGTTTTTGCTGCATCCACCCTTCCTCACACGCTACTTTCTTCCGCTGCCTGCCAAGGACACGAACGTTCCGGAGCCACCGACGCTGGACGGCGTGCATGAGGACGGACTGGATGCGCACGGCACCACGACCTATCGCATCCTAAACGAGCAGGCAAGGAAACAATCATCGAATCCACGGGAAATCTCCCTGACCAAAGGCGAGGCCAGCATGACGTTCACCGCGGCGGTGTGGGGTCCTCGAGGTTGGTACCTACCTGTCCATTCCATCGTTCAATGTCATTCTCATGTGGTCACCTACCTGTAGGCTCTGCGCCCAACATGTCGTGTGCCATCGCGACCTTGACGTCCAGCGGACAGGTGGGCGTGTACTACCCATCCACATTGGACTTGCAATGGAAGGAAGTGGTGTCAGTGTCGAGTCTCTTGAAGCGCCACGTAGCCGCCAACTCGTGGTCGCACGTCACCGCGGCCATCGAGGCGCACAACGCGACAGACTTGCTCTTCACAGTGCCGTTGCCGCGCTTTCCCCAGCAGCAAAAGAACAAAGCCAGCATCAACGCCGCGTTCGACGCCAAGCGACAGAAACTGTCCGCGTCGTTCGTCGACAAGGTGGAACTGCAGTCGGTTACCACGTTGGCGTGGTCCACTGCAACCTACGACCCGACGACGGGAGCCAGCATGTCTTACGTGGCGCTCTGTGGGAAGAGACTCTCGACGGTGTGGCGGTACGAGCACAACTACGCTGGGACCGACGGGTTGTTCACATCCCGTTTGGATGAATCGCCGGTGGCCACGGCCGTGACGGGCGTGTATGGCTGGCCCACATGCAGCGCTTGGATGCTCATGGAAACCGACGCGATCGTCGTCGGCACATCGAGCGGAAACGTCCTCATGATGCGCTTGACCCGCCAAGAGGGCAGCGGCGGCAGGATGGCGCTGGAGGTGGAGCGCGTACTGCGGACGCCGCAGTTGCAGCCAGTGTACGCGCTTCACTACTCACTCAGTCGCGTCTGTGTGGCAGCTGGCAACACGATCACCGTGTGGCCAATTGGAGGGGATGAAGGGGCTCCGCTGACGTGGCAGGCCCACAGCCACAACATTTCATGCCTGGACGTGGATCACTGTGACGACCACGTGCTCTTCTCAAGCTCATCCGACGGATGTGTCAAGTGCTGGGACGTTCGAACTGGCGACGCCATTCCCATTGAGTACATACATGTATATATTTATATATATGTATAGTGTGCTAACAATGGTTGTATATATATATAAAGTGTTCAAACATTGCCAATATCTGTTGCATTGCATATTGTCTCGTTTTACCCCTAATTTGGACTTGTGTTGGTCAAATCTATCGATCGAATCTTTCTTTGTACTGAATATGGTGTGTGTAAGAAGTTGTCGTTGTATTCACACTATTTGAATTTACACTATTTGAATCACACATTATTTAGATGTTGATGATGTTTTTCCTGCAATTTGATTGGCTAAATATGTCTGCCGATTCTTTTGTACACAACAATACTGCTTGTTGTCTGTATATCTCGTATATGGTACGATTCTGTTACGGATGTGTGTTGTCGTGTAGTTATTTGTATAGTTTGGATGTGTTGACAAATACATTGTTGATTTGCAGAACGAGATATGATATTAATATATCGACACCAGAATATGACTACAGTAGTGTGTGCTACAGTACTAGTATATGCTGTATCTGCGTGATGTTCTAGACACCAACCATTTGTGTTCAATGTAAATATACATATATATATATAAACCATATAAAAAAATGAAATCACTTTTTGTCCATTCGAATTAATCTTATAGCAACTCACGTTCGCATGTTGGATGGTACATATATATAGCTACTTGCCAGCCAACAATTACCCGATTTACGGCATGGCGTTGTCTCCAAACTCGGTGCAACTGGCCGTCGGCTACGTCTGCCCTCCTGCTGCCAAACCCTCCCGAATCACCCAAGCGGTAGGTTGAACCCTCGTCCTTTTGTTCCTGAGATGATGTTTTTTTGTGGAGTGCAGGACACGACGTATGCGAGGCTGTCGAGCGGCCTAGAGTTTTTTGCCGCCCCAAATGCCCGCAACGCGACTTTGCTGGCAAACTCACTCGAAGCGCACTCAAGCATCGACTCGCTTGGTGATATCCTCTCGTACTGCCATGCCGAACTCTCGACATTCCACGCCAAGCGAGCCGAAGATGGCGGCAGCGTGTGGTCGGCCGCGGATGCTAAAGCCTCCAACGATGACAACGACTTGGGGCAACCGCTGTATCACTCGTTTTGCTCGATTCTGGAAGCCAAATACACCGACCAATGTCAAGCCGCGGCCTTGTCGTCGGACCCGCCGCCGCCTCCCATGTACCTGCAAGTGGCGTACCAAGTCGTGGTCAACATGCCAGGAACGTCGTCGGCCAAGGAAGCAGACGCGGCGAGGCTGCAGCAACGGATCATGGCCTACTGGTGTGACAGTGTCCTGCGATGTCGAGCTAGTACAACCGTCCATCAGTCGAGGCGCCACACTGGAAAGGCGGCATTGTCTACGCTGCTCATGGCCGATTTTTTGGGCCTCGTGAGTATTTCACCGGCGAATCCCCATCTCGCGGCGTTGGTGACATCCGTGTACGCTACGTATGGCACTGCCGGCGACAAGAAGCGCTCGGTGGCAGAAGCACGTCCAGAAGACCTGCCAGTCCGAGAAACCTGTGGCCTGTGCGCGGCGCCCGTGCCGCTCACCGCCCGCGTGTTGGAACCAGTGTGTGATAATGGACATGCATTGGAGCGATGCTTTCGCACGCTTGTCGTAATCGACAGCGCCGCCGCCGTGTTGTGGAAGTGTATGGTGTGTGAAGCATTTGCAACCGGACGTGACAAGGATGACAACGACGATGATGGCAATGGTCAGCCCCAACTTCCCGTGCTCGTGTGTCGACTCTGTGGAAGTTATTGCCAACGCATCGAGTATTAAAACCAAAATAACCCAAATTTGGACATTTGACCTCATTTAAGCTTGTGCAAACTATACCATACAACGAGGAGTATATACGTCGCATGAAAGAACACTTACTGTAAGCCAATCAAATCACGTTCTGTAGAATTTCTGCCAATCCAAACGTTTGACCCTTCCGCATTGGGCAAAACGGCTCCAGTTTCGCGACGATTATTAATGTCGCTGCGAGCACCAATCTCTCCCATTGGCCAATCCGAAGTTACTTGTCGCTGATTGGCTACAATCCATTTTCGAGTTTCTACTGAAAACGGCGACGTGGATAATGGCCAATCAGATGTCTCGGCTCTATATTTGTGCTCGATTGAACGAAACATGCAGAATTGGGAAATTTGAAGAAAAATCGCCAATAATGTGTTGTTTACGAGGCTGAATCTGGAAAACTCAGACGCCAAAAGTCTTCTGGTGTCGCGTACGGCTCCCATTTCGCTCGATGGCGAGAACATGCAAACTGGTCGCCGTCAAACTCGTCGCCCAGGGCCGCATAGTACCGCGCACATTCGTCGCACGCGTGCCCTGGAAGCGCCATGCGCTCGTCGCGTTTTCGGACGACTTCGATGTACTTAAAGGCGGCGGGAGGCTTTGTGGAAGGGTTGACGTTGTCTCGATGAAGGGAGGAGGCGGGGGGGACATGCGAGAGGACATGGGAAGACTTGGATGATGCCGCCGTTGTGGAGGGAGGACGGGTGATGGTGGAAACAAGAGGTTGGTCGAGCTTTGAGCGTTTGAGGGACCGGGGGTTCGTTGGTGCAGCGTCGCCAAGAGGATTGATGGACTTTGTTAGACTAGCGAAACAATCTGTGCGGACTGATGTTGATGCTGCGTGCTTGGAAGGAAGCTGTGGGGGAAACCGTTGTCGATGAAGCAAGTCAGTGTCGTCGTCATCGCTTGGACGGCGAGCCGAGATGAAACCATCTTCAACTTGTTTTCGAGGGTTATGGACTTGAAGGACTTGTCCAGATGACGAGGATCGTGGGGGGTTTTCGCTGCCATGTCGGTGCATAGGTTCCTTGGTGGCAACAGCCAAACTCTCTACCGCGAGAGAACTTCTCGGTTTGGGTTGGTCGCGTGAGGATGCTGCATCACGTTGTCCGTCGTGCTTTTGCGCTCGCTCGTTGCGCTTTATTGCTGCAAGGACTAGATCACTTCGCGAGGCTTGCTTTGCTTTCGACCGGCGATGTTCCAACCTGCGTTGTTGTTTCTCAATCACGACTTGTTGTTGCTCGAGCGTCCTTTGAAGCAGCCGAAACCTCTTGGCGAGCACGGAGAGCTTCGTTCGGTACACACATCGATGAGGTGCATCACGTTCTTCCTTGTCCCTTTCTCCTTGCAGAATCAAGCACGATGGGCACATCAGTGGTGGTGCCATCATCCCCAAATTTTCACCCGCGCGCGATTTTGCTTTTGAAATGCTCGCCGCCATCCGGATACACTTCCGGATAATACGTTTCATTGTATTTCAACGACCAAGGGTCGCAAAATCTCACCATCAACTTGAATTACTGTAACTGTAGGTTACGAGGCCGTGGTGAAGGGCGTTCCTGCTGGCTAAGCGGCACACGACATGTACACTTGATCACAACGCAACCAACAATAGTTGTCATTCCGCTTAGTAAAACGATGAAGCTGCATAGAATACTGTGTCGATGGCATCGACAACTCGTTGTGGAAGTCTTGGCGAGCATACGACGTTACAGTGCATGCTATCACAAGTGCACTAAATACAATTAAACTTTGTGGTTGGGTGGGGTCGTCGTCGGGGGGGGGGACATGTATGACCAGCACGACGGGTTCAGCACGCCGCCCTAGTACCCCCGATACGGTCGTTCATGGGGGGCTCGGGGCTGGCGTCTTGCGCTTCTTTCTTCGGGCAGGTACACCTGCAGCTCGGAACGGCACGGGCTTGTTGTCAAGGATGCTGGTGTGGCCGTCGGCGAATTCACAAGCAGGTCCAGGTCGAGGGGATAGGGTGCATGATTGCCACCTTCTGTTAAGATGGTATCATCGCCCATCATTTGCTTGACCATTTCAGGACAAGCGTCGTGTATCGCAGAGTCTTGCAGCTCTCGGGGGGCACCAGGAACCAACACCTAATTATTATTACTACAATATCTCAACGGACCAAACCAACGAATCAACCAAGTCATGGGGTAGCAAACGCGAATTCATCTTGCGACCATGCTATAGAATATCTACAGTAGTTAGAAAATTTCTACTTCGAAGTACTATTTTGGAGCATACTGGTGCTTGGTCAAGAGATATGTTGTTTGAAGGTACTATTGTCGATTTGATACAAATTTGGGAAGGGGGTGCAATCGAATCGCGCCGACCAAACCGATCCACAATCGATCTGATTGGTTGAATTTCATTCAGAAGATTTTGATTGGCTAATAATTTTGAGCTCATCTGAGGTAGCCAATCAAATCGATTTAAATTCCAACGAGAAACAACAACACGAAAATTTCACTCGAAAGTACAATATCAAGCAAGCTCTACATTCACGGCAAATTGTTGTGAGCCACACGTTTGTGCTTGATAAAGTATACAAGTACATGATGCCAACATGTGTTTAATCGTTAGAACTAATCACGTGGCTATCACTTGGGGGATGTTGATCACAGGCAAAGAGGCCACGACCAATTTCAGCACGTCGCCCACTTTCTTCTTGCGGTTGAGCGTCTGCTTGGAGATGCTGCACCAGAGGTCGCCGTGGCGAGGTTCCGCCTTGATACATCGGTTCAATATGTCTTCTCGTTGCAGCTACAGACATTCAAGTCGAGCTTTGTTAGTTCATATATCCCATCACAAGACGACAAATATACTACTAGTACCTCGTTGCCATGCTTGAGCTCAAACGCATAGTAATACGCCCATCCGTCTCCAAAATCTGGGTTCAACTGCACCGTGCGCTCCAGCCATTTGCGGGCTTTCGAGTACTTGCGTTCATTCCAAAAGAGTTTCGACACGGACAGACACACGGCGGGGTCGTTGTCCTTCTTCTTGAGCGCCGTCAGAGACACCCGGCGCTGCTGCGTGCGCGGCGCAATGTCGATGGACTCGGCGAGCAAGATGCCAGCGTCGGGGCACTCTTGCAGCGCTTTCGCCATCAAGTTCTCCTGGCCCTTGTCGTTGTGATGCCGCGCTTCTAATCGAATCGCTTCGAGCCACAGCTCGGGGTTCTTTGGGTTTTTCAACCGGCCGCTTTCCAGCACCGACCGCGCCTTCATCTCGCCCTTTGTTTTCTCTTCCAGTCGAGTCAACTGCTTCCACAGCGCAATACTCTTGGGGCAAGATGCCAACCCGTCGCGCAGGTGTTTCCGCGCACCGTCCAAATCGCCCAAGTCCTCATAGAACTGCCCAGCCATCATGTGCAGCTTCTCAAACGTCGGGTACCTCGTCCGGCCCTCGGTCAGCAGCGCCTCCTCTCGCGCCTTGGCGTCGCCGTCCCCGTGCGTCCGCGCCTCTCGCTCCAGCAGCACCGACTTCATCCACACCCGCGCCGTCGGGGCCTGCGACCGCGCTTTGGCCAGCAGCGCCCGCGCGCGCTCCATTTCGTCGTTTTCCCACTCGAGTTTGACAGCGGCTAGCCAGATCTCTTCGCTGTTGGGGTTGGCATTGAATGCTTGGCGCAGGATGGAGCGGGCTTGTTCGACGCTGCCGCCGACCCACGCCTCCTTGGCCGCCATGAGCCACAGGATTTCCGCCTGGGGGCAGTTCTGCACCGCGTTCTCAAGCAATTCCATGACGCGGGGGCCGTTTTGTGTCTTTTCCAGCGCCACGGCGCGCAACCAAATGGACTTTTTCGTCGGAAACACTTGGAGCGCGTGGTGGTAGATGGCTTTGGCCGTCACAATCGCGCCGCGGCTGGCGCTCGTGTCGGCGTCGTCCATCCACGTCCGCTTCTGGTCCTCGGGGTCCACGCCCAGCGCCAGCGAATGTTTGACGAGGGCGGCACACGTTAGCGGCGCGTCGGCCGTCTCGCACGCCTCGGCCTCCTTGAGCCATGTGTCGCGGTCGATTCGTACATCATACTTGCGCAGCCGCTTCATGGCGTGGACGATGATCTTGTCCACCATGGCGTCCTTGCCGTTGGCTTCTTCCAGCTTGGCGGCGGCAATCCAGATCGTGTGGTCCGTGGGGATGGTCGCCCCTGCCTTGTTGAGCGTCTGCTTGGCCCGTTCGTACGTTTCGAGGCGCGCCAGGGCCAGCCACATGTCGACAGACTGCGGCACGCACTCGACCGCCCGCCCCAGCATGAGCCGCGCGCCGTCCACGTCTTCCAGCTCGATCACCGCCTTCCAGATGGCCACGGCGTTCGGGATAAACTCCAATGCACGCCGGAGCACCAATTTCGTCGCTTCGTCGGTGGGCTCGAGCTTGGCAGCTTGCAGCCACACCTTGACAGAGGTCGGCACGTGGCGGACGGCCGTCGCGAGGATCGTGCGCGCGTTCTCTGGCGTCTGAAGGCGCGCTGCTTCGAGCCATACGTCTTCGTTGGTCGGGCACGACTCGCAGCCTTCGGCAATCACCTTGCGCGCCTGCACGACCTTCCCGGCCACTTCTTCCAGCCGCGCCGCGGCAATCCACCCCGGCGCGTGCTTGGGGTTGGTCATCGTGACACTGCGCAGGAGCAGCCGCGCCTTCTTGATGTCGCCCACTTCGGCGTCACTTGTGATCTTGAGACTGTTGAGCTCGGTCATGTATCCCTTGGGATCGACCACGGTTTGGCCGGAAATCGAATCGGACATCTTGTCTAGCTTGAGCGACAACACAGCGCCTCGAGCTTCGGCCAACCCGGTTAGAGAAGACGTCATGCCGCTGATGGACGTGCCGGTCTGGAGCGGCGTGTCCCCGCCGAGAACCACGTTGGACGCCGTCGTCGACGCGCGGGTGTCCAAGATGTGGTCGGGAACTGGCGTAAAGATGTCGCTCTTCTTCTGTGAAGCCTTGTACCGCAGGGAATGGTCTCCGATGTCAGGAATTGCTTCCCATTCCGCGTCACTGACCCCCTTCAAGCTCGACTTGAGGTCCGCGAATTGATCGGAGATCTTCGGTCGCTCCCGTCGAGCCTTCTTCATGTCTTCCAGTTGCTTTAGCTCGCGGCGGCGCTTACGTCTGTTGTCCATGTGTTCATCCACTTGGGCGTAGATGTCGTCGGCTTCGGCATCGTCCTTGTCGTACGGCGTATCGTTGAACAATCCTGCGCCAGAATACCCAGAGAACTCGTCGAACTCACTGTAATCGCCACGGTCTCCACTTGCGTCCACTTCACGACCAAACCCACCTACACCTGCCGTACCGGAGCCTCGACCACCAGGTGGAATCATCATCGCTGGGGCGGGCTGTTGCGGGAGCGGCACACCTCGACCACGGCCCATGCCGGGGATGCCAGTCGCTGCGATGTCCGTGGGATCATCCGACCTGGCGGGACCAATATCCGATCGGGTGGTGAACCCAATGGCCCCGCGACCGAGACCGGCCACATAGTTCGCCGGGGCGTCCTGATCAAAGGCCTTCACGCGCCGAGCCATGTTTGAGGTAAGTGCCAATTCTTCAGGAACGAATGCTGATTGGTCGAATTTTCGAGATTTGAGAATATATTCGTCCAAACATTTTTTTGTGTTTTCTAGAAATTATATCCAAAATATCAGCTTCCACAGAACGACTAACCTTAACGTTAACCCACAACGTGACATTATGGTTTGTTGCCTAGAGTAATCGCTACTGTAAAGCTACCGGTAACCTACCTACACAAACACATAACGTTAACGAACCGTTCGATCATTTGTTCATACAAAAAAGCCCAATATCGAACGAATTCAGGGCGTTCCGGTGCAAGCAAGCATGTAGTACGTGATGCAAAATCACTTTTTTCACCTTGTTCAATTCATTCTAACGTTAGGTACATGATGACGATAACGCTATAGCGTGAAAACAATCCAACCCGTTAACTATCGAGTTTTCAGTCAACCAAATCCATCGGGCGATGTTTTGCTCTGACAGTAAGTTTTGTAAAATTTGCGATATCTTTCACACTATTTGAAGTCACACATACATTCATTCGACGGTTGCAGTAGTTTGATTCGCCACTTGAAAGTGTTCTGGGTTTTGATTGGTCAGTCCATTAGGGAGAGTCAGTTTAGAAAAAACTTTGATTTTCGTTTTGAAAAGTGCTTTTCGTCACCAAAAGCTCCTCGCGAGGAGCTTTTGGTTTTGAAAATCAAACGCAACTTGAACTTGGAGTGGACAGTACAGTACATCAGCCAATCATATTCCTCTAAACAACTGGCATAGAATGCGCACACAACCCACAATGCCACCAACGAACCAAGGCGCCATGGACAAGGCAAAGCGAGGCATGACCACGCGAGCCGAGCGCCTTGCGATGTTGGAGTTCCTGCGCGTTCCGGAGCACTTTGCGCTGATGACGGGCCAGGCCACGAGAGGGAAGGTAATGAAGGGTGGCCAGCGCTTGACGAAGGCGCATGGCCACAGTTTGATGGCGCAGTACGTCAACAAGATCGTGGGCGACGGCAATCGCGCGTGGTCAGCGCAAGACGCGAAGTCGAGGTACAGCATCACATGTAAAGTTCGTTCTCATTCTATGCCATATAGATACGATGCATACATTAGTATGTATAGGCGAGCGTTGAAATGGACTGGGGCGAACAGCAGCGGTCGCGGATTGACCGAGCAGGACTTCAAACGAAGTAATCACAAAATACATACCAGATCTCACACAATCGTAGAAATCTTTACCGTTAAAAGTAAATTGGACAACATTTGCCCGTACTACAACGACATGAATGCGCTCTTTGGAGAACACATATTTTTGCGAACACTTTGAAGTTCATATAAGGGGTGACTTTATTAATATGTACAAAGTTGATGGTAGCCAAACCTTGGACAACTCGTTTGTTGCGGACGACTCGGACGACAACGACGCCAAAGACGGCGAGCAACCTGGCAATGACCCCGACAGCGACGAGTACTGGGCGCAGAACGATGTTGAGGACCCAGGTCGTACCGATGCCGACGCTGCTGTCGGTGGCAAAACCAACAAACG